GAGGAAAATGGCTATATGTGGATTTAGTCATACTTGCTATGTTTCTTTTACATTCTAGTATTTTTGCTTTCAGGATTTTGAATTACTAGAATATGTCACATGTTACTAATTTGAGTATTGGATGTTTCTTCTTGGTATTCCTTGTTGATGGAATTGCAGGTGGTAAAGAATGTTGCATCTCAGTCGCTGGAAGTAAAAAAGCTGGTTTATGTGTACCTGTTGCATTATGCTGAAAAGTATGTTACTTTAAGTCTATTCTTATTTGTTAATTTGTTTTGGACGAGTAGTGGGTTCTATGGTTGATTTATGCAATGTCCTTGAGAGAAGTTTAATTCAAACAGATGATCAGTGATAAATCTAAAACAAATCATAAAATGGGTGGGACAATTGGATGCTGTCCTATTGTGTTTGAGGATAGAGGTAGTAATTTTGAAATATCTATGTTGACTCTTGTTGGTTATATAGGCGTCCAAATGAAGCATTGCTATCAATTAATTGTTTCCAGAAGGACTTGGGGGATCCGAATCCATTGGTGAGGGCATGGGCACTGCGTACCATGGCAGGAATCCGTCTACACATAATTGCGCCTCTTGTCCTCGTAGCGATGGGAAAATGCGCGAGAGATCCATCCGTTTATGTCAGAAAATGTGCAGCAAATGCTCTTACCAAGTTGCATGACTTGCACCAAGAGGAACATACCTCTGCCATTGAGGAGGTTTGGTGGATCAACATTTTAGTTCATAGTAGCTCCTACATTTGAAATATTTTTCATTGGTCTGTTTTCTATTTTTCTGTGATGCAAATTATGCGATATATAGTTAAGTTGCCTTTCACAAATTTCATTGACGAGTGTACTAGCAGATTCCAACTTGTTTCTCCAATGGTAGAGATGTATGAATCTTCATTCTTTCTGTTACACGCACACATCCTTGATGCGTTTCTCCACTTTCTCTAGCTTTTTAGTTCTTTTGAGGAGTTTCTTGAAGCAAGGGATTTTTGCATAAAATCATATTGAAGTTCCCAAGTTCCTGTAGTGTATACAATTTTATTTTATTTTTTTTGAAATAATGTAGTGTGTACAATTATAAACACATGCATTTGTGAATATTAATTAAAATCACTTAAGAATTTCAGCACTGTGTTTTAATTATCAAAATATCTGTTGGAAGATCTGTCTTACTTTTCCTACTTGGACATGGTGATGAAGTTAGAAACACTTAAGGCATCTGCATTGTATAATTTGAAACCCTATGACTGCCTTTTTCTTACTGAAAACAATATGTTCCATGGTCTGAGCTTTGGAGACATTTTGCCTGTATTTATTTTATAATTTTAAAGGCCAGTATATGTTCTAGTAGGATATTTTCCAATGTCAAATTTATAAAATTTAAAAATGATCTGCAGCTTGTTGGAATCCTGTTAAATGACAATTCCCCTGGAGTAGTTGGAGCTGCGGCAGCGGCATTTGCTTCTGTATGCCCAAAGAATTTCCTTCTCATTGGAAGAAATTATAGAAGGTTATGTGAGATCCTTCCTGATGTGGAAGAGTGGGGTCAGATAGTCTTAATTGGGATCCTTTTGCGGTATGCCATAGCAAGGCATGGGCTTGCACAAGAATCAATTATGTTTTCTTTGCATTCTAAAACAAGTTCCCCTTCTGTTGAGGATGGTTCAGAAGAAAATTTTGTTGTAAAAGATACTGGGGACATAAGTGAGTCAATTAACTCTGTATTAGTCAATATGGTCTCCCGGTGTTATCTTGAAGGTCCAGATGAGTATTTATCACGGCCAAATTATGCCAATAAGGTTTCCTCTGAATTTAGTTTTGCACAATTTACATCTGCCAAAGATAATGATGATGTGAAGATCCTTCTTCAGTGTACGTCACCATTGTTATGGAGTAACAATAGTGCTGTTGTACTAGCAGCAGCTGGTGTTCACTGGATTATGGCAACAACTGAGGATCTGAAAAAAGTTGTTAAGCCGCTTTTATTTGTGCTCAGATCATCTACAGCCTCTAAATATGTGGTAATTTGCATTTCTCTTACTTCTTTATTTGGTGTGTGCCACTTCTACTCCTCTCCATCTATCCTCTTATATGCTGATATGTTATTATGTCCTCTTGCATCTGGTGTTCTAATTTATTGAAAAATTGGTCCCGTTCATTTCAAGTTACAATATACTCTTTCTCACATTGAATATACTGATGAAGTGTTTTCTAAGAACCTAGACAGACACATTTAGATACTCTTAAAATGGCGTTACTGAGCAGGTCCTGGAAAGAAGCTTGGTTAGTGTAAGTCTCTATATTAGGTCTTAATATCATCAACTTCAGAGTATCTAGAGGGGATGAATTAGAAGAGAGAAAACGGAGGAAAAAGATTCAAAATTTGAACTCTTATTATTTCTGATTGAGCAGATATGTTTCATCAGCAAATATGGTGTGTTGGAAAATTTTAATACGAATTTTCTTGTTAGATTTACTTGTTTGCTGAAATATCTTTATCAATTCATGGTCCATTTTGGATTATCTCTGTGTTGGTTTACCCACAGCATGGAAATGTTCATCTTAATTACTGCGAATCCAATTTGATATTGTCATTACTGGTCCTATAACCAGTCAACAGGGTGGGGATGGAACCTGTGAGGTCAAGGGTGGGGTAGGGCTGGTTGCACCTGTCCTACAACCTCATTGGCTGGTTTGAGCATACAAGTATTTGGTACTACCCCAGTTAAACCATCTAGTTTTTTATTTTTTATCCAGAATTTGTAATAGTTCTTTGTTGGCCATCATGTATTTGACTGCGCATCCAAGTTCAGAATTGGTTTACCTGCTTACATTTTACTATATTGTCAGCTGGGTTATGATTTCACAATTACAGGTTCTCTGCAATATTCAAATGTTTGCTAAAGCAATGCCTTCTCTATTTGCTCCCCACTTTGAAGACTTCTTCATATGTTCTTCGGATCCATATCAAATTAAAACTTTGAAGCTTGAGATACTTTCCTTCATTGCCACAGATTCATCCATTTCATCTATTTTCAGAGAGTTCCAGGTATGGTCACTGTCTCATTCTCTTTTGTCTTGTCCAAGGCACCATCTCATGCCAATTGTAAATAGATGTTCATTATTTGGAAGGTAGATTTTTCCTTTAGTCTTTGATTTTTCTTCCCATATTAAGTCCAAGTATTATATGAGAAGTAATTTTGCTCGTCTCTCATGCATGCTTGTTTGTATATTTACGATATCTACACTATTTGCATAATTGTCAATAAATTAAAGTGCATGAATCACGGCTTACCTCCTATTTTTCTGCTAGGATTATATTAGAGATCCAGACAGGAGATTTGCTGCTGATACTGTTGCCGCAATAGGTTTATGTGCAGAGAGACTTCCAAAGATGGCAAGTGCATGCATAGATGGACTGTTGGCTCTTACTAGACAGGGTCTGTTTCCTGCTATTTGTCGTATAGTGATTTTGTAGAAGACTTTCATCGTTTGTTTACTCTGAAGTAATTCCCACTATTGCAGAATTTTTGACTAGTGACTTTGAGTTTGCAGATGGGGAGGCAGGTGTTTTGGTTCAAGCAATATTGTCCATTAAAACAATTATAAAGCAAGATCCACTTGGTCATGAGAAGGTACCGTTCTTTCCCCATTTCCTCTTGAAGTGCTGCCATGTACTTCTCTGCTTTTGCTTTTCTTTTTAATTATAATTTTTTTTAGGTAGTATAGAGGTATGTTAGCCAAAGAAAAAAAAAAGAAAGAAAAGGAGAGAAAATAAAAAACAAGAACTTTAACAAATGGAAAAGAAATAAATAGCTCTAGAGTATTGACAAATTAAAGTCAGTACAAGGGTTGCATAGAATGTATTATAAATTTTGTTGCCTATTGTCTGAGTTGCATCCTAAATGAAGTTCGGCACTGTGTTTATTGTGATTTTATATTTGTTCTTATTTTCTTTTGTTGCCCAGTTGGATATCATGGAAACTGGAAATCAATTTTTTTTTTCACTCCTCTCCCTAAAAGAGAAAATAAATAAAAAGGAAGGGGGAAAGGATACCTGGGGAGGCCGTGCTTGCTTTTTTTTATTATTTTTTTTATTTTTATAATTCAGCTTTCTGTCTACTCTTCTGTCCTTCATATTCTGGGCGCACTCACTTACATATGGTGAGATTTTTGACACTGTTAATGAAAATTTTTTAACTGGTTTAACAATTGGATGCTTTGGTATTTGTTGCTACTGGTAAATGTGATTGCAGATTTCCTTTTTGTAACATGGGATTTCTGCAGTCATCATTGTCATTGCTTCTTTAATATATAGAAACCTATCAATGCTTATTTCAAAAAAAAAAAAAAAAAAACCTATCAATGCTGCAAAGTGGCAACGGTAACTTCTGTTATCTTGCTGAGAGTTTGTGTAGATATATAGAACAACTTGAACTACATTTATATTCCATGTTTAATGTTATTTTTTTCTGGCTAAATGCTAAACCTTAATGCTGTTACATGCAGTCCAGGAGTAAAAAAAATTTGCCACCTAGCCTCCTATTTTTCTTTTCCAATATATTTGATTATCTTTTTCAAGTTGTCTGTCATGCAATCTTTATGTTTGGAGGAATGCTTTAGTTTCGGATGGAGGAGGCTGCTTGGATGAATCTTTTTGCATTTAAAATGATATAACCACTTCCAGAGATTGGGAGAAAAACACAATGGTGTTTTTAATTATGTGGAATCAAACAGTATCTGCAAATTCTTGAAACATAAAAGTTATGAGGATTATTGTTACAATGGACATCTTTTGATGGTAGATATAGTTGGAACCAAGATAAGAATTTCTAGATGTTGAATACTACTGAGAAGTACTGTTTATCCTTGAAAACCTATTGTGCCCACAAGCTTCCGCATTAAGTTTACAAGCACATTATTTGAAGTCGAGGATATTTTAATTTTGAAGCTGAAATTAACACTTACAAGTTGGGGAACCAGTATTCATTTCTGGTGTTAGAAAAATTTTAAAGATTTCCTTGAAATATTTTGTTCTTTTCTTTTTGTTATTTGACACATGACCATTTTGTTTCTAATTTAAAGGTAATAGCATGGTTGGTTCGTAGTTTGGATTCAATCAAGGTGCCAGCAGCCCGGGCAATGATTATTTGGATGGTTGGAGAATACTGCTCTTTGAGTCCGATGATTACATGGATGTTAACCACGGTACTCAAATACCTAGCCTGGTGCTTTAAGTCAGAGGAATTAGAAACAAAGCTTCAGATTCTTAACACTACTGCTAAGGTACCATTGGCAGCTATGAAATTTGGTTTAATAAGTATCTTTTTTGGCACTACCATTTGTGTCCTTCTCCTGTAATTAAGTTTCTGAATTGTTCATTTAAGGACATGGACAATTTTTTCTCGTTTGGTTGTAAACTGTTGCTCAACAGATTCTATTCAGTTCACTCTTTTCAAGCTCTTTTTCTTTTGTTTTAGATTTGTAAAGCTCAGAAATTCTTAACTGCACTAATTCTTCCTTGTTTAATCTATCATCTTCATTTATTTCTGAAAAGGCTTGATTAATTTGCTTTATATCCCATTAAGGATGAGTGCTTTAGCTGTGGTTATTTCTGATCTTTTATTATTCCCTGACATTTTGCAACATGTAAAACCTCAATCTCATTATTAAAATGTAACTGGTATTCCTGGTTGAGTTATGTGTAAACTACAGCTTCTATAGCTGGCTGCTGCTTCAAAACATGTTCACTGAAACAAAATATGTAGATAGTAAACTAGAAGCATACCCCTTCGAAAGGAAAAAAAACTAGAAGCATGCCTAGTTTCATGGGCTTGTCTGAAGTCTGATTGGTGGTAACCTATGTTATTTCCTATTTGTATTCACTGCTTTTGGGAGAATGCGCTATTTTTATAACATCTTTAACCATAAAACCCTTTTTTGGGCTCGTATTAGGGGTTTCACTTTAATCTATTTTCCATCCGTAGGTGATTGTTTGCTTTTATATGGCAACTCACCAACTCAGTGATGTGAGTCC